ATGCCGGCAGCCGCGGACTCCCATACTACGAGAAATTGCGCCGAGAATTGCGAGACACATTGCAAAAGAAGCGGTTGATGGACAAGAGCATGGTGAGTGGACAGACCAGTCGCGCGTCCCCAAGTTAGTCTGGGTTACGTTCTGCGCGAGAACAGCGTGCACGAAATGCTTCCTCTTACCGCGAATCTTTGGCTGTTCAATGGATATTTCAAATTGTCTCTCTCATTGATACCCTGCTAATACACGCTCTCTCTCCCGCTCTCAGGCCCAACTCGAAGACCAAATCTTCCGCTTTGAACAATCCTACCTTGAAGAAACAACCGCCGGAAACATCATCAGAGGATTCGACAATTACATCAAGGGTTCGGCCAGCGGATCAAGTCTCGGCGCTTCGGGCCTTGGTCTCGGTGGCGGCATGGCCGGTTCACGGCGCAAAGCTCAAGTCACAGACTCGGATCGAGTATTCTCGCGCAGTTCGGCAAGTTACATGATGGTATGTGGAATAGTGCAGCAAACCCAATGCACGCAGGTGCAGACATTGCGGGTGGTTTCCGATATCTCTGGTTTGAAGAGTACGACTAACGAGGTATCTTTTCGGTGTATTGCAGGACTCGCCCGGCCCATCCTCCGCACAAACTACGCCCTCCCATGCGGCGACACCGACATCTACAAACGGGAATGGCTCGTTTAGTAGGAGTAACGAGGCACTTAACATTTCCGCCGCTGCTGGCGGGATGAAGGTTTCGAATGGTGCTTCGAAGAATAAGAAGAAGGCGACGGGCGGATCGAAGAATACCAAGGGCAAGAACCAGACTGAGGATTTCTCTGATGAGGATAAACCTTCTGTGAAACGATTGAAGATTAGCTATGGACGGGATTGAAAAGTTAACCGTGTCTGTCACTGTCGTGCATTCTGCTCGGGGTTTCTCGGGTTTGGAGTTAGGTGGGTTTATCTTGAATCTTTTCTTCTATTCACGGCTTCTGGCGGGGAGTCGTAATATACGGCGCTGTGGAAAATGGGGGTATTTCTTTGATGCGATATCATGTACATCACGAACTTATACAGACTACAGCGTTGTCGCTTACAACATTTGCTTGATTCTTTCAATGGTGCTAGGTATACTGCTAGGCACAAGCTTAATCATATCTCGACTTGGCTTTATATTGCTTGCAAGCAAAGGACACATTGTTCTACTCCCATATTCAGAATAATAGGAGAGATGGAACCAGACAAATCATATCCTGTCTGCTGAGAAACACATCCATATCACAGATCAAAGCTGCAGTCGGAACGTAGCGACCTCAAATGCCCTCAACTCAATATCAATATTGTGCGTAGCACGATCATCAGTCCGCTTTAGATCCAAAAGATCTTCATTATCCTCTAGTACATTGCACTTCCAAGCCTTCTTAACGGGCAAAGAAGTCTCAATAGTACCACGGGACTTACCACCCAATGACTCATAGATGCGCAGGATAATACTCTTCCCAGGACGCGTAGGAATGTCATCCCGAGCAACATCTTCATCATCCTCGCCACGCTTAACAACATCCAATATCAAAGATGGCGACCCCTTAATAGAAAGGGCCTTGAAAATTGCAGCGGCGGTTGATGCCTTGGGCCCGGCTTGCTCTACAACGAGTGGGCTATTGAAATTGAAGCCTGCGCGGATTGTTCGGTGGTCGAGAGGGCCGGCGTGTGGAAGGATTGCGTAGCGGATGTTATGGCGGCCCATGTCGGCGTGTGCATCTGGTGCTTTCGGGGCGCGGAGCAGTGAAAGGCGCATTAGGTTGCCGCATGTGGCGAAGCCATACTTGGAGTCGTTGAGGATTGAGACACCGTATCCGTTCTCCGAGAGGTCGGCCCATTTGTGGCAGCAGACTTCGAATTTGGCCATGTCCCAGCTATATCAGGTTAGTCTTGTGGTGGTTTAATGATGGTGTGAGTAGTACGTACCTTGTGTTGTAATGGGTTGGACGTTTGATGATTCCGTATTGAGTCTCGTAGGATGCCTCGGTGTTGGTGATATCTACGGGGAACTCGACCTTGAGGAATTTCATGGTCTCTCGCCATTCTACCTCGCTCTCCATTTCCACGTAGGATGGTTCATTTGTCGATGACCGCGAAAGGCTGATTGTTGTCTTGATCCAGCTCTTGTCGCTGATCTTCGTCTCGGTCATGACACTGACCCGATGCGGGCTGTTTTCAGTAATGACAGTCTTTCCAGAGGGTAGTTCTTTGCGTGATTCAAGATGGAACACCTCGACATCCCATGCTTGCCAGTAGAGAGGCTTATCATCAAAGATGACTAGCTGACCAGCATTGCCGCCTTTCGCCACGACTTCCCTGTCTGCTTCAATATCGTAAAGGGAGATAATGACTCCATCTTTGACATCGACTTTGAGGTTGTCATTCTGCAGACGGAAGACACCAGGCTGGACTTCCTTCACAGTAACCGCCATGCCCGACTCGTTATCCTGGTTGAAGTTAATCAGTCCAGTGGACCCGGTAGCCACGGCGTACTCGGGCCCAGTCGATGTTGACAGCGCACGAGGGACCTTGACGACCTCCGTTCGAGGCCACGGCAAAGTGTTGAGAGCCACCAGTTCACAACTGTCGGACTTTCCAATAATACCCAAAGCCTCAAGAGCATCCTTCCGCAGCTTTGTGCCAATCTCAAAGATCTTGGCATAAAGTTCATCAGAATCATCATAGCACATCTCAATCGAGCTGCCTGGCAGGCAATCATGGAACTGGCAAAGGAGTGTCCCCTCCCACATCTCATCAATCTCCTTCTTGGGATACTTATATCTGCTATTGGAGTCATGAACAGTAGCCAAGGTTGCGAGAAGCTCAATTTCACGCAAAAGGAACTCCGCTTTCCGGTTGTTGCGCTTGTTGTTCGCCTGGGTTGTGTATGTACCACGGTGTAACTCGAAGTAAAGCTCTCCGTACCAGGTAGCAAAGTCTGTACCATTGGCAGCTTTTGCCTCCAGACCAGCGAAGAAATCATCAACAGACTCGCCCATCTTCACTCGAGGGAGTAAGCCGACCTTGTCGCTGAGACCACGGCAGCGACGCAGTTTCTCGAGGTGTCCGAAAGTCGGACCACCACCTCCATCCCCCTTTCCAAAGACAAGCAGGGATGTCTTATCTGCGTCCATTGATTTGTGCTGAGTGACACTGCGCTTCACATCGCCGAAATGTGCTTCAGCCGTGTAGGTCTCTGCTGGAGCCATGTGGCACATCACCTGGCTACCATCAAGTGCAACCCATTGGAATGTAGTATGGGGGAAGTTATTGATGTTGTTCCAGCTGAGCTTCTGGGTGAAGAATCGGCTCATTCCTGCCAGGCGGCAGATCTGGGGGATCTGAGTAGAATATCCAAAGGTGTCCGGCAACCAGAAGGTCGTGGCTCGCTTGCCAAAGTTGGCCTCGAAGAACCGCTGTCCGTACAGGAACTGTCGGACTAATGACTCGCCGCTTGGCATGTTTGTATCGTGCTCGACCCAGCTGCCACCAATTGGCTGGAAGTTGCCTTTCTTCACCCACTTCTTCACGCGCTCAAAGACCGTTGGGTAGTACTCCTTCAGCCATTTGAACTGTTGCGCTTGAGAGCAGGCGAACCGGTGTTCAGGATACCGTTCCATCAGATCACATTGGTTTGACCATGAGCGTGCAACCTTGCGCTTTGTTTCTGCCCAGGGCCACAGCCAGCAGGTATCAATGTGGCAATGGCCAATAGCATAGACGATCGGCTGAGTGTCCGTGTTGTAAACCTCGGACGAATCCACCTTGTCACCAAGATATTGCCTAGCAAGTTTCCGTGCTTTTTCAATAGACTCGTTGCTTCCATCGCCGGCGATGAAGGCATCGATCATGGAATTGGCCACCACGTTAGCTTCATGCGCCTCCCACGAATCACCAGGGAATTCTCGCGCAGCATCCCCAATGATCCAGAAATCATAGTAGAGAGCTCGAGCAGCCAGGTTCACAGCTGTAATACGAGCCGTACTGAGAGTGAAGTACTTGTTAGGATTGGGCGGCTGAATCGAATCGCCACCGGGAGCATTGCCAAACATGCCATTGCAAGCCATCTCAATGTAGAAAGTATGAGTCTTCCCATCACACCACTCCTTGGGAAGAATAAACTCAGTCCGCTCTCCACCACCAGTCAAACCCTGCAGTGGGCGACCATCCTCCGTCCAGATCAACCCCTCATTATTGGCATCCCAGTGGAACTCCAACCGCTCCCGGTCAAGCATGTCCTGTGGGACTGTAAGGTGAATGCGGAACCAATGCGTGGACCAGCTAGGGCCAAAAGAAGCGCCGATATGGGTTGGCTTGAACTCATGGGAGGTTGCATCCTCGAAGGTCGGTCGCTGTAGGTCTGGGACCGAGTAAACAGAGAGCTTGACATGGTCTTCGTCGGAGTTTGTGGCTTCCCAGTATTTCGATATAAGGTTCTGGCCTTCGTATTGGCCGCTTGAGGTGAACTGCTTCAGGCGATCGGTGTAGATGCTGTTGATGCGCTGACCGACCGGGCGCTCAGCTAGCCGGGGTAGAGCTGGGGGAGCGGGGCGAAAGGGAACTTCCCCACCCATGCTTATTGTTCTGAAGGTATGTGAGTGGAAAGGAGTAGAGATAAATTGCAGATTTGAAATTTAGTAGAGTACAAGTAAGTAAGGTCAAGAGAGTAATGTGCAGGTTGAGATGAAGAGAGAAGAGAGAAAGAGAAAAGAGAAAAGAGAAAAGAGAAGGGATTCCCAAATGCGGAGGCATGACGGAATGCGGAGACGGGATCGACACGAGGTGAGTATACAATGCTCTCTCTGTTCAAGTTGTATACCATTGTTTGTTGATACAATTAAATCACTTCTAAGAATATATCTACCCAATGTATGTCGCATATTAAACGCTAAATCATTGGTACTCGGGTAGAGCTGGGATCGAAACTGTGCAGCAACCACTCCTAAAGGTTCTTCGGATACTGTCTGAATCATGTCTCTCGCTGAAATTTCAATATAGGCCCAGGTAGATTTTGCAGGCGCAAGTTATCCCGAGGCAGCGTCACTGCACTTGTTAGGGGTTTCATAAGCTGACGATCCAGCTCAGGATCCAGCTCGTACGAATCATCCAGTAGTGGGATGATATTGCTCCGGTCGATATTTCCTGTGGCAATTTCCTCGCTTGTGAATGACTTGTTGTGGCAGGCCTTGGACAACATATTGACGATGAAGTCTTGTCCAGTCATGTCCATGACATTATGCTGGGCAACGAGTGTGAGCATCAGGCCGCCCTTGATGAAATTCGCCTGGACACAGAAGACCAATGCTGACTCCGTCGTTATCCCGGCGGGGCACCAGGTAGATTGACGGTTGTGCAAGGTGCAATGACGTTTTCGTCGAGCATGGTGAACGGGTACTTGGCCTGGCGAAGGCCATCTATTGTTGGTGCAGAGTGGTCATATTGTAGATCTTTTACCGCGAGCTGGATCTTGTCGAGAGGGCTGATTTTGAAGACGCCGGTGTTGCCATCCACTGCGCCTTCGTTGAAAACTTGGCCAGTAAGCCGTGGGAAACCTTTTGCCAATCGGTCAAGTCCGTTGGTCAGAGTAGTGATAATGTTGCCATGCGAAGATGTGTCGGGAACTGAGTAGATCAAGCATATTTGTGTGTATAGCTTGTAGAGGCCTGGCATTTAGTCTATCACGTCAAGAAATGTGTCTACCATTGTATGTGTACAGACGTATTCCAATACACATACATACAACGTCTCTTATACCTCGTGGTTCGAGTGGAGGCACCCGCCTCTGGCCCCCTACTCACGATGCTTCAATATGAGTCAACCTTGTTCATAAGGAATTCTAAATCCTGAATCGAGGTCAATTCAAGATTTGTATCATTAATATGAGGGTGCTTGTATTGTTATTGCGCACTTTTGGGTCTCTTTTCCATATCATCCATTTGATGATGAAACGTGAAGAGTGCCCGGGCCTATAGATCTACAATCGGCAGAACCAAGCTCAACAACCACCTCCTGGTAGATGTATATTACAGGAGGTCCTAGTTGCCATTGTAGATCACTTTGTTTCTCGTGCGTATTGCGGCTATATATGAGAATCACTTCGGCTGAAGAATGTCCATATACATATTCACTGTCCAAAAAAGAAAGACCCCTGGGCCAAGTCAGATCATAGACCCAAACAATCTTCCGAGATAAGATTGACATAAAGCCAAGATTATAGATCCCAACTACTTGTCGACCATGAAGATACAACAGAACAGGCAACCCAAACAAGGCAAAAAGCTAAAATAAGATTATGCTGACAAGATCGTCGCATATTTGCCGCGGTTGGCGTACAGTACATCTTTCATCAAATGTCATTCTATCATCACACTCTTCTTTGAGAACATTGGGCAGCCACGTGCCGATCTGTGACAGATATTCCACTTTACAACGCCGCCCGACGACATCACCTGCGTACGAGAAGAGCGAGGTCCGATGAACAAAACCCAAGAATATGAGGCAATATTCTCCACTTCTCGTCATTGTACCAGCCCCGCGGAGTTGAACAATCGATGTGATTGATCACGTTGACGACTGTGCCTGACCTAGCAAGCGCCATGCGTGGGGCTGACATTTACGCGAAACAGGTCAGCCTTTGGAAATTTCTTCAGATGTGCGTGACGCGAATACCGACTCATTGGGACCATCTGGAGATCAAATGTGAGATTCAAGATAGTGACATCCCACCTGCATTGCGGGTATGGTTCGGAATTTTGTCTTTATAGAAATTTATGATTTGCCGAGGAAATGTTTATTTTTACAGAGAAAAGCAAATATATAGATGGGTCGATCGGTCATGACTATGAGATTAATACGCAGGATATCCAAGTCAGATTTTTTGTTTCAATTGATAGCTTGCCAACCATTGCAACAATTTTTAGTTCTACATCCTTTAGTGTTGGGCCCTTCATGACACTAAATGTGGAAATGCATATAGTCTGGTTAGGAACATCCCTGCCTCTCCCCAAGTAGCCTCGGAGATACCCTATAGGTTGCCTTAAAACGTTCAGTCCCAAAGGCAGGAGATCGACACATCCCTGCAAGCTTGTGTAGGGGTCACGAACATCGGCCCAATAACAACAAAACCAAGCTCAACATGGGCGCATAATCATACGATGATATCCTAAAAGAGATAGGCGCCATTACCGAACACAAAAGAAGCCAATTGGGTATAGAACCACGCACTCCAAAAATAAATTTACTCTAAGTTTCCCATGAACATCACGAATCTGCTAGCCGCGGTTACCTCCAACCATATGATGAACACTAATCCTCTCATTTGCAGCATCATCATCAAAAAGAAAAGAATCAACCGCACTAGAAGATGAAGCTCTACCCGGCTCAGCCCCATCATAGCGCATATCATAATCAACAGTATGCACAATAGCATTATCGCGCAAGATCTTCTGGCTATCCACACGCTCCACACTGGGACGGTCCCCATGGGACACGGAAATTGGACTTGACGAGTGGGTCGCAGATCCTGATCGTTGCCCAATGCCACTCCCAGACTTGGATGTCGATCGATCCTTCGAGTTCTGGCCCGAGACTGATTGCTCGAAGAAGTCCGACACGGTTCCTGCCATCATGCCTGTTTGGAGATCGGCGAGCACGCGTTTTAAAGTTGGGATGCAGGTACATAGGATTGATGAGCTGAGAATAAGCTGTAGCCAGATTGCTGGCATTAGAGCGTGCCAGGGTCGGTCGAGGGGCTTGGAGTTGAAGAGTGGTTGAAGGGAGTGGAGTCCGGCTATTGTTAGTGCTAGGACTCTGTTTTGTGTGTTTGCGTTAAACCTGGTTTCTTATAGAAGTCAATGGGAAGTTTACTTACAGAACACGCATGGCGAATAGAGCTGAGATGTGATGGCGCTTCCATTGGATGATCTGGACCTGGTGAAGTAGAGTCACCGGTAATCCAATAACGCACATATCCAAAAGCATATGAAATGCGGCTAGACTGATGTATAGGGCATGTTGGTTTAGGCATCGTTCAGGGCTGAAGCTCCACGGATGTGGTTGATCACATTGTACACCGAGCGCCACGAGCGCGGCCAGTGCCCATGCACCAATCAGTCCCAATGTAATCTTGCATGCCGCGGAGATCCTCTCAAAAGGCTTCAATGATAGAACAAGGAGGACGACGGCAGATTTGGAGCATGCCAAAACGAGGACGGAGAAGAGTTGGCTAGCATAGAGAGCCTCCAAGTTGTTAGTAAACGTCCATTGCTAGAGAATATAGCTACTCACCTTGCTATATGTTTCAAACGAGGAATCACTCAGCGCGTGTCGGTGTTTGCCAATACCATGAGAACTTGCTATGTTTATGCACACAGTTTGAGGGATAAACAAAACCTAGTTAACTGGTTAAATCACATCAAACATCAGGGTAAAGGTAGATTACACAACTGAGAAACACAATCGAGTCACTCCAGGACAATTTGCGCAAGACACGGAGGCGGGATATCAAAGCGACTGTCGTCGCCAGAATAGTTATAATCAGTAGGATAGTGCCCACAGTTATAACCCAAGCACCATGATCATCTGGAGTAACAGGCAAGAGAGGGGGCAACAAGGCCTCTTGGCTAAAAGCCATTGCAGCTAACAGGACTCAGTGGGATGCAACATACAAACCCCATATTCCTAGTTGCAATAGACAGGCGAAAGCATAACATGATATAATCAAATCCGACCCCTTCGCCTAAACTGAAACGTAAGATAAGATCACTAGCAAGCGAAAAAGATGCAGGATGCCCCGCTGGGCTACTGATCCCAGTTGATCTAAGGTTCCACCACTGCGCATACTTGGCCCCGTCTCGAAACCAGACCAGGCTCAAGATGCAGGTTGCGCCGATCCCCTCAGCCAAGAGCATTCCGCTGTAACACCTGGCTCCTGATCCTGGCGGACTTTTTATTAATGCCATCCATGCCGTTCATGCCAGTTTTGCTTTTTTTTCTTTCTTCCATCGATCTTCCTTCGGGACTTTTGTTTAATATTCTGGGTTTTCCGTCTTTCTTGCTTCTCTTTTTCTGTCTGCTATTATGGAGCATCATGAGATGCATCCCTTGAAGGGGAAGGGGGGAGATCTCAGTATTGACCGCGATGTGCCTGTTCGGGATGTCAATGTCTCGAATTCCTTTGATAATCCCAGCAAAAATAGTTACACAGAGACTTCGCCGAAGGTATTAATCTCCCGAGTCAATGTGGGCTGCCAAGCTAAGATTGTATACAGCGACTGTTCAATTTTACTCAGATCTTCTTCTTTTCACTTACTTATTTGTCTAGCTGGGAGACTCAGGCATTGTAATTCCTTCCTCGCGGTTTTCATCCATGCAGCATTAACGTTTTATCCATATAGAAACCTGAGTACAGTCCTTACAAATGGCGGTCCTCAAGCGCTCGCCTGGGGAATCGTGATCGTGGTATCTGGTGCAATGGCACAATCAGCATCATTAGCAGAAATGGCCTCGATGCAACCAATTGCAGGAGCCCAGTATCACTGGACTAATTACCTGGCACCCGAAGGCCAGAAGAAGTTTATTACCTGGATGCAAGGTTGGTAACCAGTCAAGGCCTATCCGAGGCACGGTTAACACATAAACTATACAGGCTGGGTAACCTGGTTCGCATGGATATCGACACTTGCCGGCGTGGCCAACACTACTGCTACCATGATCCAAGGTCTAGCGAGTGTGAATTACCCCGGATACGAGCCAAAGCAATGGCATTTGACACTAATCATTGTCGGAATGCTCGTCGTCGAGGCTTTGATGAATATGTATACCTTCTGGCTCATTCCATGGATTGAGATGCTGGCCGGTATCCTACACATCTGCCTTCTGATCGTCTTCCTGGTTGTCTTCACAGCACTGGCACCTCGTCACACACCGGAGTTTGTTTTCTTGCGCACGCAGAGTTCCTCAGGCTGGGCGACCTTTCCCGCATGGAACATCGGCCTACTGACTCCTGTCTGGGGATTCGTTGGTAAGTAAGCCAAAAAACAAGACAAGATGGCTTCTAAGAATTTAGGCTTCGACGGCGCAGTCCACATGAGCGAAGAAGTCCGCCGAGCAAAACAAGCTGTGCCTCGCTCAATATTCTACACCGTTGTCACAAACGGCATCCTCGCCTACGCCATGGTAGTCTGTATGCTCTTCACAATGGGGTCAGTAGAAGAAGCCCAAAAATCGAGTTTCCCTATCATCGAGATATGCCAACAAGCAACGGGCTCTGTGAAAGCCGCCACAGCAATGGTATCCGGGTTACTTGTAATCTCACTATCGGTTAATCTGGCAAGTATAGCATCGGTCTCACGACTAACATGGGCCTGGGCGCGAGACGGCGCCCTGCCCCGTTGGTTTTCTCATGTAAGTATCAAGTACCAAGTATCAGTACCACGAACAGCGTCACACAAAGATCCATCCAAGCTGACAAGATCCACAGATCGACCGACAGCACAACGTCCCCATCCGAGCCGTATGGCTCCCTGTTCTCATCGTGATGGCCCTAGCTTGCCTCAACATCGCAGATACGGCAGCGTTCGGGGCCTTCGTTGCACTAGGCTCGATTGGTCTGTTTGTGTCGTACTTTATTGCCATCAACTGCATGGTGCACAATCGATTCCAGGACAATGCGGCGCCGATGGGGAATTGGAATATGGGTAGGCTGGGGCTGCCGGTCAATGTTTTTGCTTTGGTTTATACGGCATGGGTGACTGTGTGGCTGGCATTTCCTTCTGCGTTGCCGGTTACCGGGGAGAATATGAATTATGCGGCTCCTATCTTTGGGGCTACGACGTTGTTTGCTTTTGGGTATTGGTTTGTTAAGGGGAAGACTCGGTGGAAGGGGTTGAATAAGGATATTGTGCGGTTGGTGGTGGAGGGCGGCGAGCTTCAGTTGAAGTGACGTTCTCGTGTCGGTAGTTAGGGTTTCAATTTAGACGGCGGTTGTATGCCATGGGTGGTAGAATCGGGCGTTTATATTTGCCGGTGCTTGAGCAACGCTCTTGAGGCATTCAGCCCAAATTTCCTTTCGGCTTTCTGTTCAAAGGAAGGAGTGGCCTTTGTTATGCCCCTCATATAAGTACGTAGGCCTCCCCAAATTTCCTTCTGTTTCATTTACTCCCTTCTCATATCTCAGAGCCCCTCTCTCTAAATGAAATGTTTTCTTTGAGGCACAGCCTTTTCCGGATTCTACCATCTCGACCCAAACGACCTTTGAAATCTATCCGGAGCCACTTTTCCCTATCACCACCTCGGAATGATGTCTTGAATGCTTTCGTCTACTATGACTACACCATTTTGGCCAAAACGTTTCTTTTGGCTGGTGGATTTTCTACTTCGATCGTCTGTTCTGCTGTCACTCCACATCAATACCTCCTTTGGTTGGAGGAATTACTACTTGGATCATTCCTTCTGCTGTCACTCTTGGTCAATTTCATTGGGGGACGACTTCCTAGAAGCATGGAGTAACGAAATCACATGAGTAAACTGGGAACTCGTACAAATTCTCAGCTGCTCTTTTTGGGCTTTTTGTTATCTGATGGGTTCTCTAATTTCCTTTCTCGGCAGGAATATGATTCATGTACCCCGTGCTCAGGGTTAAGACCTGTGGCCGGTCTTCTTCTTGCCGATGATCGCTGGAACACGTCGCACAAAAACATAGACTACTAAGTCAATGCAAATATGCCGCCGGTGGGCGTAAAAGCCACAAGTCATGGGTGATTTCAAACTAAGGCTTCAATCTACTCAAGTGATACTCACTACTGTTTATATTGGCGTCTCTTAGACCCTGGCGCATTCTTCTGACACTCACGCCACTCTCGTTTGTACCTAAAGTCACAGGTGCTTTCAAAGGAAGGCTTCAATCTACTCAAAGAATACATACTTCTGCTGATTATATTGACATCTCTCAGACAAGCTGGCGCATTCTTCTGACACACGTCCCTCATTCTTTCCTATCTACGGGTTGCTCTTAGGGCCAGACTACAGTCGCGGTCAGATTGCAAACAACCAAACAAGGGTGCCTGGCCGAAGAATATCATCGAATCTACCAACCTTGGAACATCCCTCTTTTGTTTCGACACCGATCTTCAAATAAAGTTGTTGCTCAGGTTGATAACAAGCCCAAGTGGCTTCGAGGACGAGTCGTCATCCACCATATTTTAATATTTACAAGATACTACAGCCTGAGCATATCCAACATACAATAATCGGTTTCTTAAAAGAAGTTCGCTGATGTCATTCATCATAAAAAAGAGAACTATAGACGAGACCCAGCATCGTCCACAGCCAATCATTTTGTCAAGAGTGAGCTCTCGCTATATACAAGGCACTGCCTTAAGGGTAAAGAAGGGTAATCAAACAAAAGATGCAAAGATGCAAAAAACGCGAGTCTAAACAGAAAGCCAAAGACTTTTGTTTAAGCCTTGATACAGTACTGGTAACCAAGCCAGAGATTGTCACAGTTCTCATTGAGACGCGAGTTCAGGCTTCGCAGTTCGGAGAATGAGATACCGGCAGTTTCGCTGACAGCGTTGCAGATGTCGCCGCTGACGACAGTGTAGTACTTCTGGCATGAAGGCGAAGCGTATGGGTAGAGAGGCGCGCCGGAGGACGAAGCAGCAGGCGCGGAGTTGGCTGTCGCCGCTGGGGCAGACTTGGTCGTCCACGATGGGGTAGGGGCGGCGCTCTGCACATTGACCTGGGGGGTCCAGGCGGCGGCGGGGGTGGTGGTAGGGACAGCGGTCTCGGTGGGCTCGGCAGTCTCGGTGGGCTGGGGCTGAGCAGTCTCTGTTGGCTGCGCGGCAGCGGTAGAGGTAGACGAGGAAGAGCTGCCAGTGTCATTGGAGCCGGAGCCGGAGCCGGAGTCGGAAGAGTCCGAGGTAGAAGATTCAGTGCCGCTGGTCAAGGTACCAATGGTACTCTCGATACACTCGCTAACATCACCAGCCCAGCCACGGACACGGTTGGCGATATCAGAGGCGTAGCAGTGAGTAGCGCCACCCTGGCCGAGGTTACCGGAGGCATCGATGGAGCCGGAGTTGTAGGTACGGGCGGCCTTGTAGTACTTTGCGACCTCGCTTCCGCTCTGGGCTTGGTAGCACTGCTGGAGGCCATCGCCAGCGGAAGTTCCGGTGGTGCCGTCCTCAATCATCTGCTTGATCATGCTGGATGGGCAAGGGGTGACGCCGACGCAGGTTCCTGAGCCGTCGTGGCTTTGCATCAAGCCAGTGTTCTGGACGCCGTTGTTGGTGGATTGGACGCGGACGCAGCCCTTGCTCTCCTGCATGATGATTGCCAGGATGAAGCGCTCGTCGACGCCGCTGGAGCTGGCGATCGATTTAATGTGTTCGTTGATTTGGTCCGTTTCCGTGTCGCTGTTGTCGCAGGCTGAGGAAATGAGGATCTTGTTGAGTTCCCAGCTGAAAAAAGTGTCTGTTAGTTTATGTTTGTATTGCGATTTTTGCAGTTGATTTGCTTACAGAACGTCGTACTCCTTCCAGTCTGAAAGCGAGGGCCATCCGTCCGATACCTCACCGCTACCACCCATCAAAGCATAGGTGGCAGCGGACAAGGCGCCGCGACGGTGCAAGTTGTGGTGCCCGTTCGAACCATGGGGAACGGCTTGAATGAGAGTAGACAGGCTGCCAGCAGCCAGGATCTATATACAATTGTTAGCCATGGTTCATGTATGTGGAGGTCCGGTGGACCATGGGTTCGCCCAGAGTTCCCGGCGAACTATACAAACGTACCAATGAATGAAAGAACATTTTGTCTGAGAGGGAGTGACGAAACGACGAACAGCGAACGATCAACGGTCAATGGTTACAAGAAGCCCTGCTTGCAAGAAGAAAAGAAAAATAGGGAGCCATGGCCAAAGTATATGTACTCGGCACTACTGTGTGCGCTTTGCCCTCTCCCTGTCTCTTTTGGTCAATTGATCAGTCCAAGTCTCCGCAGCGGAGACGTCCCTCGAATTACGATCACAGTGGCTGTGAAAGTGGCCCAATGGCGGGCTGGTTTGGGTCCTTGCTGTAAGGGCTGAAACACCCAGAGGATCCCAAGTACCTGGATGGGTCGCGATTGGTCTGTTTCAGATATTCGTTCGGCCCCTGTGAGCGAATTTTAGGGGCTGCGGAGCTGACGAGGGTGTTCATCACCCCCGTTCATGGGCCAGCGATTGGCTATTTGTGGGGGAAGCGATCACCGAGGTGGACCGAGGGCAAACTTTTTGTCTTTTGTGCCTTCCCGCTTGGTCTGAGGGTTGTTCTGTTCCTGAATTTGCCCCTGGTTCCTGGGAGGATTTACCCGTGTTGCGTTCCAGGCTCTGACGTGCAGTATACTCTATACTCTCATCACTTCACGGGCGCGTATTCAAAAGACTTGACCTACATGTACATGTGTAATGCATGCAGGTCCCACAAAAGTGGCAACAAAGAGCCGAGCTAATATGTAGCGTCGTATTGAGAGAGTGTGAAAAGCACAGGCGCCGTGGCCTGGCGTCTCAGGCACTACACAACCTAAATTGCCATGTGGGCGCAACAAAGTCGGCCACTTTTTTTTTTCTTTTTTCTTTGTAGATAATTTCAATTACCTCTCAGGTCTCCTATTTGAACCACATGCATACAGTAACAGCAACTTATGATCGGTGACCTGTAGCCCCTCGGCCCCCTACGAAAATACGGTCGCTTGCAATCGCTATTTCCTAACACACTAGTCACAACGCACACAACACCCCATCGCAAAGGGCCTCGATTATACCTAGTGGAGACAATCTACATTGGTACCGCCCCAATGTAGGATCGGTACTTCGTGCAGGTGGATAGCGTACACCGGTGTGCAGCACCGGTGAGACAGTTCCTTTTAACCCAACTACAACGCGTCCCCTCCGTGCCTAACCAGCAACTGTATGAAAGGAAACATACCGCACTAAAGAAAAAGAGAATCCTCGTCAAGCCCCAAATCCTTGATTTCGATACAGTAGCCACTTGCATATCGCAGATTAATTGAACAAAAACATCCGCATACTGGGATTGACTGCCAGCCTTGGTCGCGAATGCGTCTTCGGACTTCCGAGGTTAATTACATGTACTGTATTGCATTTCAATGAGACGATAAATCCGCAGGTAACATTAGAACTGTTAAGCAGAATCAACAGATCGGGTCGGCACACCGATATGCATATTGTAGTGTACTGTAAAACGAGGGCTGCGCGACAGTCAATTCCAGCCACGGGTCCACACTCGCTTCCTTGCTCTGTTCCTGGAGAATTACAAGCTCGATCTATCCCTCTGGACAGCCCTCGTATCTGCATTTGCGAACATGAGGTATCATCTCAGGGTGCAGGTGCAACTTATGCCAAGTTCGTATAGACCATGCAATTCTTCGCAGGCGCTGCAATATCTATGTGCAAACAATCATATTACATATATCAATTTGAATTCGGACAACGCAATTTGACGAGGATATGCATGCTAAACAGCTAGTCTAATCTCCGATTCGGGCACTGTCAGCTATGCCCTCATCTTGGCTTTCTCGTGTTCTATTGTATATGCTGGCAGCGCCAAGACATATTGAATCCAGCTAACCCGGACGCATGTCGGACAAAATGTTTCGGAATTGACTGCGAGTGGTCTGCCCACGTGTGCACTTGTCGTACAATCGGGTCTAAATCATCGGGGTTCAATAGTCGCTTCAGCTATGTAAGGGTTTGGGGCTGGGGATGAGGCTGAGCCTCGGACCTTTGTGGGTCGATGAAGCTACATGCAGTTGACGGAGGATTTGGGTCCTGAGCAATGATACTAAAATAAAACTTTGGTAGTATTTTGTCTCATTTACGGGTTGTTGCTAGTATCTGGTGCATCGGGGGCCGAGTGGCGTATATGGCTAAGACAGGTCTAGGAATCTCGGGGGCGTCCGAGAAAGTGATAGTGAAGATTATAGATATCCCAAAATTTGGCGGCCTCCAGTGTGATTTCAATCTTTGTACACCCCCAGCGAGACTCCCTCTCCTTCATGATGTCAAGTATGACGGTTGTTTTCGCGATCAGCATTTATTGACTTGCCATTATAATGATCAGCCTGAACACCCTCCTTGACCAGCCCCTGAAAATCCTATATCCCTATTCCCCTGGATTTCTCGGTGACTGAAGAACCAAGAGAGGATTACAATAATTTTTAACGTTACATTTACTCTTTGCAGTACGGACTGTCTCAACTTTGAAACTGCTGAACATTTCTACCGAGTGCGACCAACGGACCATTTATGGGTGAGTGCAAAACGCTCTGTGCACAGTATTCAACTTCATAGGAGACGAATCCTTAAAATTATCCAGGACTATTAGTTTAAGCTTTGAATCTGTTTCATTAAACAAGCAAAAGCTTGTCTGAAGTTTTGAATGTCTAGCATCTTCCATCGTAATCTCCTTGCTCCGTCACCTAAGTATCTACACAAAACATCACCCAGTCATTCGGATTTCAAAATGATCGCAATGTCTAATATATAAGCTTCAGATGCGAAGTAGTTGCGAATTGCATATCTAGACTCGGATTTCGCAACAATAATGAGCCGAGGCATCGGATTCATCGCGGAGAGACTGTTCACCCGTCGGTGTGGGGCCATCAACCAAATCCGCCTCTGTCATGTCGAACTTCATTCCGAGGTCCATGGATCATTTAGCTGCTATATAACCAAATCAATTCTTTAATTCTAAAAGTCACCAGTCATGCTGTCTGTTAACATTTCATCATACACAGGTCCCTCGGGGTACCAGCTATCCGAGCTTTCAAAGCCAGAGCTTCGATCTGCGAAAGATGTGATCATCAAAGTCCACGCAGCCAGTATCAACCCAATCGACGTGAAAAAGGCCGATGGAGCTCTGAAGATGGCACTTCAGGATTCGTGAGCTCCCTCTTATTCTACTCGAACCGCCCTAATAATAAACTAGCTTCCCATATAAGATTGGCTATGATTGTGCCGGTATAGTCACAGAAGTCGGATCAGGTGTGACCAGGTGTAAAGTCGGTGACGAAGTCTATACTCGACTTCCAGAGGTATCCCGAGGTAACTATCGAACTAATTATGAAAAAGTAATCAGATTAACTTTCCATCTAGGTTCATTGAGTGAATTCGTCCCCTGCGCAGAGCAATACATTGCTATCAAACCTCCATCGTTATCTTTCGAGGAAGCAGCTTCCATTCCACTTGCGGGCATGACCGCTCTCCAGGCACTTAGGAGATACAAAGGCGATCTAGCGGGAAAGACGGTTTTCGTACCGGCAGGCCGTATGAACTCGAACCCTATTCTCCGAGCTCTATACTAACAAAATCCCAGTAAGTGGCACCGGCCTATTCGCATGCCAACTCGCCAAGAAAGTCTTCAAAGCCGGAAAGGTAATCACAACAGTCTCAACTTCAAAAGTCGACAAAGTGAGCGAGCTACTAGGCGAAGGAACCGTCGATGAAAGTAAGTCTTGCATCTACTATCTAAATCCTAATAATCGAAACAAACAACTAAGATTTTCAAGTAATCGACTACACAAAATCAGACCCAAGAACCGTTATCGAAACCGGCTCAGTGGACTTCCTCTTCGATACAACCGGAGCTGCAATGGAACATCTCTGCCTGATGCGAGCACAGTCTGGATGCATCGTATCTGTCGCGACTATGCCATCAGGTGACGAATTACAGAATTCACCATTGATGCAATTACCACATAATCCTCGGCTGCCCATGGCTGTGAAAATGTTTCTTAATGCCATGGACTGTGTGCGGAAGTTACGGGCCAGGCGGTATGGAGCGGAATACTCGTATTTGCTTTTGGGGTCGACTGGTCAAGACTTGGATGATTTGCGTGGGTATGTTGAGGATGGGAGATTGAGGACGGTTGTTGGGAATACTGTGAAGCTTGCGGATATTGAAGCTGTGCGGAGTGCTTGTCAGGTTGTATATAGCGGGAGGGGGGGTCTTGGGAAGACGGTGGTTAAGGTTATTTAATTGTTCGATTGGGCATTCTTATGTACTGGTACTACAACGTGAACTTCAGATTTCAAAGGTCAAACGAAAAAAAAAATTCCTTGAGTCATGGTGAGTTGGGATGGTTGTTGAAGTGCCTCTACTTCCGATCACATATAATCTCCCAGAATGGACCAAGTGTAGCTACTTCGTCATCTTGTCGGCTAAGATTGGCAGAATGCAACGTATTTTGGGGGTACCAGTACTTATGGTGTGTGACTCCGACCAATTTGTACTTGGAGCCCTGGGCATACATAAAACCAATTTGACTTATGAACCCATAGCACATATATTCGAGACATCCCGTACATATTCGTATTCCAAAATGGCAACCAACAATATAAAACACAAATCCAATCACAGATCAGCCTTCACAAGCTCAGCCTCCGTCCACTCCCACAAACGCTTCCCCATATCCTCATTAGCCACATATTTATTATGACATTTTAAATTTCCAACAGGAACATAGTATCCGCCGTTCGACAGATCAGCTTTCTTCGCCCCAGCAGCAGCCCACAACTGATTACAAGCACCCTGAGGAACAGACGAACCAAAGAATCCAAGAGTCTTCGTACCCATCGCCGCAAAAGGCGAGCTCTCATTAATCGAGTTGTACAAATCAGTCACGATAATACCCGGATGAACAGACACAGAAGTAATCGACGGGTATCGACGACCCAACTCAGCAGCGAAAAGAATATTCGCCGCTTTGGACGCCCCATACCGCGCATTGGTGTTAACCTTCTTAAGCTTCTCCTGATCCAAAATCGTCTCGAACGAAGGCGCAAGGTTATGGCCAAGAGAAGAGAGCGAGACAACGCGGACATCCGAGTCTGCTTCCTCGGCTGTCTTAAGCAGAGTCGGCAGAAGCAACTTCGTAAGATGGAAGTGCCCGGTATGGTTCGTTCCAAATTGAATTTCATGGCCCATTTCTGTCTCCCCGGGAGGCAGAGCCATGACGCCGGCATTGAGAATTAGGATATCGAGCCGCGAGGACTCGGCGTTGAACTTTTCTGCGGCATTCTTGATCGATTTGCCTGACATCAAGTCCAACGGAAGCCAGCTGAGTTCGACGTCATTTGTGACGGACGATTTCACATATTTGATAGCATCCTGCGCTTTTGACTCAGAACGCGCTCCGAGGAAAATTTTCTTCGGGTTGTGCTTGATCAGCTGGAGGATTGTTTCTTTTCCTAGGCCCGCATTCCCTAAGTTGTCCATTGAATTAGCTGCATGGCATATAATAGATCCGATCAATTAGGGCTTAGACATACCGCCCGTCACCAAAATGACCTTCCCTGAGAGATCCGGGATGTCCGTTTCTGGGCTGAAGCTTACTCCACCCACGTAGTTGAGGGGGTTCATAAACGCTGTGACGAAGCCTGCCATTGTGGGATGTGGTTGAATATGTTTAATAGCCGATGTTGTCGCATTTCACGATATTTATGGTTTGGGTCGGAGTAACATCTCCCCGAGTTGACTTTCATATGAAGAGTGGAGTCTGCATAACGTTTATACAAGGTAGTTCAGACGTCGATGTTGTTCATCTGTGGTAGTGACTATTTCGCATTATCTAAATCCCTCTCCACTTCCAGTACACCTTGTAACTTTCTAAGAGCAAATTTGAGAAGCGGATATTAATTTCTGCTAAATAGCCTTTGTACTATATTTGTATATTAAGTTCATTCAGGCAAATCCAGCTTGGCAAGAAGTCGTTTTAGCCTCCACAAAGATATCATTGCATCAATGGTCATATCGTTGTCAGGTCTGAAGAACAATGCCGTTTGTTGGAACTTCGGATGGGATTCGCGCAGCTTGGCCAGATCAGACTCCGAAAGAAGACACGGTAGATCAAACACCGGAATCTTGGATCCGGTCTGTGGGAGAGCAACAGAGTCCAGATATGAGCCATTTGACCCAGGAGCGGCTCCATCAGGCTTTGATCCAAGCAGCAGTAGCCCTCCACATTCCATGCGCTCGAACGGCTCTAGGCGCCCAAGGGCATCTTCCACTGCAGAATCCGAGTATTCATGCAGGTCGACAGCTCTCCACACGCCATTGAATTTACCAACATGCTTGTACTTGGTAGAAGCAGCATCGAGCTTCTTACAGACATGTCTTCTCATGCTCTGGAGTACGATATCGGGGATATTCGACATCCAGTTGATTTTCTGTTCCTCGCTCGCCTTGATTGGGCCTTGGGGATGCTTCCATCGGAACGGCAACAACCGCAGAACGGCGGGTTTCTTACCACCTTTTTTAGAAAGTGGCACTGATATCAATCGAAGAAGTGGCAAAAGTTCAACGATTCGAAGTAGGAGTTGACGTCCCTGTTGGTTGTTTTGCTGGACCAAAGGGGTTGGTGTGGCGGCAGTTGGGCTCTTGCTCTCCCCAGATACATCCGCGTCCACTTTCTGATCTTCGATATCCTCTGCAGTGGTTACATCTGAAGAGGGTTTGGAGTTTGGGGCGTTATTGTGCTGCAACGAGTCTTGCAGTAGACCCACGGGCATGAAATGTAGCTGGTCTGTTTCTTGTTGTCGCACCAGGCCCCATTCTCCAAGAAGGGCAGACGGAAGTCTCGCTCCTGTTACCCCACACATGCGGATTGGAGATGCTAGAGCTACAGCCCATGGATTCTTGCTCAGTTGGTCTGTTTCGTGCGTTGTCGGGCGTCTTTTGCGGGTCTTTTCGGGTCCGGGGCGCGGATGGGTGAGAAGTGGAGATTGAGGAAGGCGCTTAGAAGGTGGTATGTTATGCGGGCTTGCGTTGTTGCTGTCTGTTTTCTCAAGTTCAGGAGCTTCGTCGGCGCTCTTGTTTTGTCGCCCTGGTATGGTTGAAATGCCTCGGTTGGTTGCGTGAGCAGTTGCGGGGAGATGCGAGCTTGCAAACAATTGCCGGAACGCATGTAGGCGCCATTTCGCATATGGAATGCGCGGGTTAAGACACTCCATTGTGGTTGATGCTGAGTAGAAAGGAGCGGGAGACTGGAAGTTGGAAAAGATGGTCTTGGAGTGGTCGCAAGAACCAATCGGAGGTCCTTATTTGCGGAATATTTCCTGAGAAAGCAACGATGCAAAACGACCATTGAAAGACCTCGCGCTGATCAATTGGCTGTTTTAGATATGACGGCCAGCATCAAATAAGCTCTAGGGCCTATATATGCTTCATATTCGGCATTGCGACCTCATAGTTGAACCTGAGCTCCTTATCTTAGCGCCGATCCTTATCGCATCAGCTCACCGTCTTCCGACTCAGCATCTCCAACTTGCAAACTTCACACTTCAAAATGCCACCAAGAGTCTCTCTCCGGCAGTTAGGACGGGCTGTCCAGTCACCGGTTTCTCTTGTCAGACCCGTGACCAGCTTGTCGCGATGCTTCTCAAGCCAAGTTCCCTCGTTTGCGGGCCAGCCCCCGCGGAGCTGGACACCCACACCTTTTGTCACTGAGACAGTGGTATGTCTTTCCTTGACTATGCCCAACTCAATGCGTATATGCTAATATCTTCAAATAGGGAGGAGGATGGCATACTTGTATGTTGCGCAATCAAATCTATTGACCAGCTTGGATGTCACCCAAAACAACGCTCAACTAACATGTTTGCGCATCGCAGATGATATCTTCTCTCGACTAATGAAGGTATGGAATACATACACAACCTAAAGTACCTACTTCAGTTCCATCATGCTTACTATTTTCTTCTTTTAGGAGCGTATCATCTGCCTCAATGGCGAAGTCGACGAAACCCTCTCAGCATCCATCGTCGCCCAACTCCTCTTCCTCGAAGCAGACAACCCCTCCAAACCAATCCACCTCTACATCAACTCCCCAGGCGGCTCCGTAACAGCCGGTACGTAACCCCCAGCAACTCCAACACCAAGCAATCCCAACATTCCCACTCCCTCATCTACCTCTCATTCCAAACCTAACTAACAACCCTAGGCCTAGCAATCTACGACACAATGACCTACATAGCCTCACCAGTAAGCACAATCTGCGTTGGTCAAGCAGCCTCAATGGGCTCCCTTCTCCTCTGCGGCGGCCACCCAGGAAAACGCTACTGCCTCCCCCACTCATCAATCATGATCCACCAGCCCTCAGGCGGTTACTTCGGGCAAGCAACCGACATCGCCATCCACGCCAAGGAGATCCTGCGCGTCCGTCACCAGCTCAATAAGATCTATCAGACTCATCTTACCGGCCAGAATAAGATGTCCCTTGATGAGATTGAGAAGCTTATGGAGCGCGATTACTTTATGGGGGCCAAGGAGGCGCTTAAATTGGGGATTGTGGATGAGATTCTTGATCGGAGGGTTCAGAAGGGGGCCAGTGGGGAGGGAGATAAGCCTCCTACTGCTTAGGTGGCTGGACTTGGGTCTGGGTGATTCTGTGATGGTGCGGGTTTTATGTGTTTATTCTGATTCTCGATTCTTGACTGTCTGTGGGTGTCTCGTGGTTTGCTTTGTAAGATATATCTTATCATGATTGTTTGCTTTTTTGTATTTTCTCGCTGGTTCATCTACAGATCTGTACCAGGCTTCAATTGCAGGATGTGCCATGCACTGGAATGTAAAGACGCAAGCCGTCCGCCCATGGACGATTATAGACGACGTTCCCTCGGTAGGCTCTATCTTTAGCCGTTTCCACGGAGAATATATATAAATCGACGGCCTATATGGCAATACACCATGCCAAGAGGACCTATGTTAAACTGTTCTCGCGCAGACTGAGTAGAATGATGTGAAAACATTTGCAGAATGGTATGCATCATACATTATCTCCCGAGACAATAATCGACTGGTATGAATCTATCTAGAGCTAGAGTACAAAAGAAATACATCAAGTACATCTATCGATTCACACGTTCAATACGACCATCAGTACTGACCTGCAACCCAAACCGCTGACGCAAGAAAGTCGCCGTCTCGGGAGACGGGACGAGACCCGTTCTTGGCTGAGTTGGCGTATTCGTATGGCGCCATTGATCCCGCAGTGTCCCGAAGAAACTCATTTCAACTATGACAGCCTCACCAGAGGCGTATGTATCCATGGGATGGCTGCCCCGAGCGCTGACTCCGGATGTTGTGTCGCTGGGATCTGCTAGTAGATTGGTGCGTTCTTCGTCGACTTCTTCGTCGATGCTACTGTGCAATGGTGAATCAGGACTATTGCGGGCTGATGTGGCTGTTTCGCCTGTTTCATCCGTTCCATCTGGTCGTAACAGGCCGCGTTCTTCGGCATCGTGGTCTTGTGTCTGGGTCCGGGTTTGGGCGTCCCCTGTTTCCGTTCCTGTTTCCGTTCCTGCAACTGTATCTGTACTTGTGTTTGTGTTTGTGGTTGCTGGGCGTGGAGTGGGAGAACCACTAGTCCTAACCCGCTCGATAACCAAAGCCAGCATGACGAAATCGAGTAGGAAGATCAGGACATCGAATAATATGAGACGGTATACAGGCACGGGGGTCTGTCCGATGAAATCGATGAATATGCCTCCGTGGAGGTAGCCGCGTGTTTCCTCGCCGGCTTCGGGTCGGATAAAGAACGCATGGAAGATTATGCAGATGAGGTTACTGGCAATGATGGCGCCGACATATGGCTGGTTGCGCGTCGGCTCGAAGGGGGCGGCTTTGGGTGTAAAGAAGATCAATTCCACTATGGCACGTATGGCGAATAATATGATCGAGCAGCTAGACACAAAGCGTGGATGTTAGCTTGTCGCAGCAAAGAGAGGGTGGTCCATGCTAGGCAGGCAAGGCTGCGGTAGGCTGGGGTAAGCTTACTCCATGTAATACAGCGCGGAGAGCTGACAATAAATTAATATGTCGAGATCGCGTAGTAGCCGGTCAATGAAGGCGGTTTTGGCGGTCGACTGGACTTTCTTTACGCGGGCGTTCTGGCTGCTGAGCGTGCCTGTTGGCCTTGGGGGCTCCGCATCGTCATAGGTAATGCCGGACACGTCAGCGATGTATTCCGCATCCCGGTAGGGGTCGACGTCTGTCATAGAGGGTCATGAGGGATTGGACGGTATCCAACAGGCAGTGTGAAGGAGTCGAGGTAGGGACTCCCCGTTGGTGAGCTAGGGTGTTGGAGATGACGGGTGTCAGGCGGAGTTTCATCGGTCCGAACACGTGCTTTGAGCCATCAAGGTACCTTTTTCTTTATTTCACTTTTCAATTGATTGATATTTAATTTGTAATTAAATGTACATGTTGGATTGAGGTACTGTATATTTCAATGGGGCTTCTATCTACTTTGAATCATCACAGGCTTAATCCACGAGGATGGTCTTCGACAGCTCTGAGTAGTGCTTGAAGAAGCCAGTGAAGAGACGGATGGCATGTGCGACATCGTGGGTACCGCCGGTTTCACGGATGCTGTGCATGCTCAACTGAGGGTTACCCAAATCCAGGGTTCGTGCGCCCAGGGCGGCAGACAGCATAGGACCAATAGTGCTGCCACAGCTGGAGTCGTTGCGGACAACAAACAGCTGCAGGGGAACATGCTCGCCGGTCTCCTTGGTGGTCTTGCGAGCAATCTCCTCCAAAAGGACAATGCCAGGCGAGTTGGTGGCATAACGGGCGTTGGCGTTAATCTTGATCACCGGGCCCTTGTTGATCTCTGGCTTGTGGTCCGGCTCATACTTGCCTGCGTAGTTAGGGTTGATGGAGTGGGCCATGTCAGCGGAAACAAGGAACGAGGTCGACAGAGTCTGCTCATAGGCAGTCGACAGGTCGGCATCCTTGGAAGAGGAGGAAGGGAGGACAGACAGGCGGCGGATGATGGATGGAAGAATGTTTGAGTCCGCACCCTGAGCTGTGCGGCTGCCAATCTCCTCGTGGTCGAAGAGAGCAATGAGACGGATGGCGTCTTCGTTATCGAGAGCAGACTTGTCGGCAACCGAGTCAATCAGACCGACAGTGGCACAGAAGGTGCTGTTCAGGTTGTCCAGACGGGGAGAGAAGATGAACTCGTCCAGCATGCCACCGAGGCAGGACTTGTGAGTGTCGAACAGGATCATCTCGAAGTCCAGAATGTCGGCAGGCTTGACACCGGCCTCGGCAGCAATAAGCTCGACAAAGTAAGGGTGATGACGCTCGGTCACGGCCTTCAGGGGCGAGAATTCGCCATCCTTGTCGGATTCGGGAGCCTTGGTCTCGCCAGTGCGGTTGAGCTCAGCAGCAATCAACCCAGCAATGGGGAACAGCTGGGTCTCCTTGTTGAAAGCAAATGTCTCTTGGCGGTCCAGATGGATGGCCAGAGTCGGGATGCGAAGGACTACGACGTTAGCGAGTATCATACTTCAATTGGGTCTAGACATACTGGGCTTATCAATCTTGACCAGCTTCTGTACGATGGATCCATCGCTGGCGCGGGTCATCACTCGACCAGCGACACCCAGATCACGATCGAACCCTGGAGAGAATTAGCGGAAAGCCATGATTGAAGTTTTTTTTTGGTCAACATACAGGTGTGCCAGATGCCTCCGCCGTAGGTCTCAACGCCGACCTGGACGAAGCCTTCCCCGCTCTTCTTGCTCACGGGCTTGACCCGCAACACCGGAGAGTCGGTGTGAGCACCGATCATGGAGATGGAGTTACCCGGCTATATTCACGGTGAGCAACAGAGCCATTGATGTAATTGGATTGATACATACCTGCCATTTCTTGCCGATCGCGAAAGCCACGAGAGTGGTGGTGTTGCGAGTCAAGTAGTACTTCCCTCCCGGTTGGCAGGTCGACGCCCAGGAGTCTTTCTCCTATTGATGTATAAGACACATATTTCACACCATGTTCAAGATAGACATACCTTGATCTCTTGGAATCCAGCCTTGGCCAGAAGCTCCTTGGCTTCGTGGACGGCATGGAAGGCTAGACAGATCAGCGGCAATTCCACGTCATAGGATGGAAAGGCTTACGGGTAGGGGCGGCATTAACAAAGGACAAGAAGTCCAGGGCAGGTTGCTTAGAAGCCATTGTGGAAGTGGAGTAGCGACGAGAGGTGCCAAGAATGTAAGACAAAGGCCGTCTGAAGACCATAGCAGTGGATATACAAAGAAGTTGAGGTTTTCGCTTGGCGGTGACGGATATCACCGCTAAAGCCAACTATACATCTGAGCCAACAATATTGCAAACAAACAGACTAAATTGTATCAAATCACATTCTAAACGTTAGCGTAAACCCCACAGATGCCCCAACTGACTTCCAGGCGGAATTGATTGGTGATGCCCATCTGGCCCAAGCTTATTCGCGTCGCGTTCTCCCCAGGGCGCGTATTCGTCAAGTTTCGCGTCAGTCCAAGTCCAAACAGATCCCTCACTTCCCCCACTTTCAATGCCCGTTAAACTGCGCGTTTCTGTAGGCGCGTTTCTGTCTTTGTGCAGTAAACAAAGTGCAGTCTCGATCATAACAAAGAACCAAGATCAGGAAAACGGTTCGGCAACCAGCATGAAACTGTTAGAGAAATGTATAGTATCAAACGCTTAGGCTCCACTAAGTGATACATGTAGATCCGTCAAAGATGTTCATGTAAAGAAAGCAAAGGCCAGTCTATGCCCTGTCCGAATCGGGTTAGCGCACCCGACGCGTGACCCAGAGTCGCCCTGCGCAACTCCGTCACTCCCTTGGCTCTACACATGCCCTTGTTGCTTGAGACAGGGTGCTTCACGTCTTTCATGCTGAGGCATCTCAATTTACAATCACTAGGATCACAACTGACTTACTGGATCGCCATCTGGATCATAACAACACTGCGAGTCGAATCACCGCTCAAATAGCCGCAATCGACTCCCTCGTTTGACCCGTCAAAACCGATTCACTTCCATCGCATGAAATCTTCATTATCGTCTTGATCGGCAGCACCTTGTTTTCTGGGTCTCGCGGAGACAGGCACTGAGATGGCAGACGGAGCTCATAACTCAGAGAAGGCCGGAAATGGGACGGTAGCCAAGGAAACAATGCGGTCGCACATCTCAAATATCGTATCACCGCCTGGATCGAAGACGCCGCCAAGCATGCCGACGAAGCGCACAATGTATTTTCCGGACAACTCGGGGAATCGCCAACGGACACAAGAGGGCGCAGAGCCGGTCGATCCTAGTGCTCTGGCGAAGGCGCTAAAGGATTTTGAGAATGCTGGCAGTCGCAATGAGAGGACACCGACAGCTAGTCCATGTCGGAAACGGCAGCGTGTATATGGAGACCGGTATGTCATCCTTGACTTTGCCTGAAATGGATACCTGCGACGAGATTATCGGTGAGGTTCTGTGAAAACTGACTTGGATGTAGATTCATTCCAAACCGTGATGGCCAAGACTTACAAGCAACTTACAGTCTGCTGCATGAAGATGGTTGTCCTTCCACTCCATCCAAGTCTAAGAGACGCGCCCCTCACTCGGAGCTACATTTCCAAAAGAGTGCGTTATCGATTGGTTCTCGGAACAAGTGCTTTTGACTGACTTTGAGGCCACAGCTGAGGAAGCGAACAGGACATTTTCTCGAGTTTTGCGCAGCGAGCTCTTTGGAAATACAGTCCCACAGCCTGATTTGCATTCGGGATCCCCAGATCCATTGCTTGGCTTCAGCAATGGAATCAACGACAAGACCCGCTCTCATACACCCCCTCATGTCGCCGCCAATCTACCTCCCGCTAGCATCACCCCCACCACACCACACAAGAACCTCTTCAACTATGGACCCACACGGCCCGGCTCAGGACAACCGACTCCCTCAAAAACACCCCGAAGTATTCATGCTCCCAACCTGAACGTCCGCTCAGAACTCTACAGCCTCTCTCCCATCCGTTACGACAGCCAACGTATTCTTGAGACTCCTCGCAAGCAGTCCCGCTATGTCAACAAGGTTCCTTACAAGGTCTTGGATGCCCCCGATCTGCAAGACGACTTCTACTTGAACCTAGTAGACTGGGGAAGCAGCAACGTTCTTGGTGTTGGCTTGGCCAATTCTGTTTACATGTGGAACTCCCAATCCGGTAGAGTCACGCGGCTATGCGAGCTGAAAGATGACACCGTGACCAGCGTAAGCTGGATTCAGAGAGTAAGCAAAAGCCGCTAAAGCTTGCCCATGCATATCATGAAGACTAACATTGAACCTCAGGGCACACATCTTGCAATTGGCACAGGCAAAGGTTTGGTACAAATCTGGGATGCCGAGCACTGCCGTCGGCTACGAACCATGATTGGACATACCAATCGCGTTGGTGCTTTAGCTTGGAACGATCACATCCTCACCTCAGGTTCTCGGGACCGTCTCATCTACCATCGAGATGTCCGCTCTCCTGATCAGTATCTCCGAAAGCTTGCAGGTCACAAGCAAGAGATTTGTGGATTGAAGTGGAACACCGAAGATGGCCAATTGGCATCAGGAGGTAACGACAACAAACTGATGGTCTGGGACAAGTTAAATGAGACCCCTCTCTACCGGTTCTCAGACCACAATGCCGCAGTCAAGGCGATTGCATGGTCTCCTCACCAACATCACCTTCTCGCTTCCGGTGGCGGTACAGCTGATCGCACGATCAAGTTCTGGAACACCCAAACCGGTTCAATGATCAAAGAAGTCGACACTGGCAGCCAGGTCTGCAACCTTTCTTGGTCCAAAAATTCAGACGAGATCATCAGCACACACGGCTACAGTCAGAACCAAATCGTTATCTGGAAATACCCGCGCATGGAACAAATCGTCTCACTGACCGGCCACACTTTCCGCGTTCTCTATCTGGCTATGAGCCCTGACGGCCAGACAGTCGTTACAGGAGCTGGTGATGAAACACTCAGGTTCTGGAAAATCTTCGACAGACGTGCTACAAGAGACACTCGTCGCGAAGGCAGCAAACTAGCAGAATGGGGCACCATCCGCTAGTCCCGCCACTCTCTATCTCTAATTTGTCTCTCACTTGCATTCGACAAGGAGTTTTTCGGTTTGCGGTTTTGACTTGATCCCAGGGGGACGTCATTGCATGGTATGGTCATGGGGGGATTTGAATCTTCATCTTTAACGCGTGGGCATCTATTGCATCTTTTCATCGGTGCGATTCGGGCGTTTCGGTGAAAGTCCAGCGCTCAATTAAACGGACTACGCACTTTGCGTGTTTTTGTTTTATCGTTTTCATATTTTTCATTGCTTTTTTCCTCTTCTCTGTTTCTCTCCGGTTCGCCTCGTCTCTGGCTATTCCCTCGGGGCATCTTTTTCCCCCCAACTAGCTGGGCGGCTGGCTTGAAGTTCGGGCGAACCCTTTCATACACCTCTTTTTACTCGTGGCTTTAAGCGGCGGCGCTTGTGGTGTTTCCATCTGTTTGCCGGTATGCGGCATTGCGTGGCGCGGGGTTTCTCATTACAATTCTTCTTGATGACGATATGACTGACCCCTTCTTTTCCTTTGCGGCGCGGCTTTGAGCCTCGTGCCTTTTTTTACAATTTCATAGAAATCTTTAGCCATACAATCCTGCACTGGATATTTTCCATGCTAGGAATGAAATGAAAATTGCAATTGAAAATATCTTTCTCTTTGATCTCAAAGCAAATACTGTATCTTGCTGGGTATATATTGGCATTTCATTCAGTAGCCGGCAACCGTTGAATCATAGCAACATGATTTTTCCAATTGAACTTGGAACATTGAACAAGCTCGTGAATCTGAGCCACAAGGCCATAATGATCATCTCAATCTATTACACCGGATTCTTCGGCGCTTGGATTCTATGAAGGAGCGGATATCTGGACTTGATGCCCACCACTCGCGCCAGGTCCCGAAGATGAAGATGACCAAAGGGCTCCATAATTGGGACAAAGCGCAATCAAGTACCATTGGCTCTGGAGAGCCGAGGACTGAACCTGAATGTCCCTGGCGTATCGGATATATGTGGTCTAGTGGTATTTTACCATAGATTTTGGATCCCTTTCTTTTCCACTTAATATCAAATTGCTATAGTATATAGTGTGGACAAAAGACCAAGATAGTCTCAGTATGATCCTTATCCTGATCTGCACAGGGCGCCTCCAGGGCCGTTTGTGACAATGATTCAAGAGAATAGCATTAGCTGAACCCGGATTGTGCGTCTTCACGAATTTTACTTCAGCTATTTAGTCCCCTCTGCATTCATGTCAACTTTTTTGCTTTTCATAAATCTGTTTTTCAATCGCTTTTTCGGAATACCCGATGTCGCTTCTCGAAACTCGTGGGCAATGCTCGCGCGATCCTCGTTGCTCAATTTCGCGTACTCGCTTCGGCCTTGTTCCACCAATTGAATATCCATCGTTGATACGTATCTCCGGGCAAACCACTGAGAAACCTCGGCGTCCAAGCCTCCTAAAGGATAGGTGACTATGGCTGATACACCTAGCTCATACTGTAAGTAGACATGATATAAACATAGAAGAGGGCAGAGTTACCAGATAAAACCTTGAAAATACCCGACAGTATGTCGACTCCAATCCCAGATAATGCGCTTAGCGCACGATGGTCCCGAGCATTAGAAACAAGATGTGTGCCTAGGTTCGACACTCCGTCGTAAGGACCAAAGCACATTTCCTGATACAGTTATTACCACCCGGTGTATGAGTGCGGAGACACTCAGAAGCTTACCTTGCCACCAGCTTTCAGTCCGCTGGGGAGATCTTGAATATCATCCAGTGGTCTTACTGTGCGGTCTCCCCACATCTTCGGGGTGTTGTGTAGGCCTTCTGTCAGCGCCACCACTATGTGCACCGGCGCGCGAACTAGGCTGGCTGAGATTCGGGTCATCCCTTTTAGACAAACTCCAGCTCTCGAATCTCTGAATCGATGATCGTGTCCAGGGGCCTTCGGCTTGCTTTTGAAGTTCCTAGTTACTGAAGAGCCGATGTCCTCGAAGCCTTGAAGAGCTGAGCCAGCTGAATCAAGCATCGCCAGAGCCATACCAGAGATGGGATCCTGAGGTCCAACATGAATATGGTAACTACAAGGTCGTAGTCTTGTAATCTTAGTATAATGTGTACCAATAACACAAGGGTGAACTCACAACTCGAGCTTCTCCAAGTCAAGCAAACCCATGTCTACTAACAACGCGGAAGAAGTTGAACCGAGTCTGATATTGGTCTTCCGAATTCGCCAAGTCGCCGCGCTCATCGGAGTCAATGAACACTGTAACAACGACAAATTCAACTGTTTGTAGAATGAACGGATTCCAGCCTCAACACCGTCTTCGTCATTGACAATACCCCCCAATAAATGGGACCTTGCTTGCACAGAGCTCGTGAGTGCGGTTTCGATCGCGGCCGCAAGTCTGATGGCCGTGAGATTTTTGAAGGGTATTGGGTCGGGCCCTGCTCCTGCTCTGGCAATCATATTGCCCCAAAAAGGTTGATCCCCAAAGAAAGGTACGACGACTGACGGTTTTCCTGCTGCAATCGCTGCTGCCGTGGTGCCGGCTCCTCCGTGGTGCACCACGCATGAAACGCGCTGAAAGATCCAATCATGGGGACAATCCGCTAGCATGTGTATTTCAGGTGGCATATCTAAATCACCTAAGCCGCTCCAGCCCGCTGAAATGATAGCTCTCACCCCGGCGAGATGCACAGCCTCTAGGAGCAGTAACGTGAGCGACTTTGGGTCATCAATGACAATCGAGCCAAAACCGATGTAAATTGGCGGACTCCCTGCGCCAAGAAATGTTTGGAGGCTTGAAGGAGGAGTGTAATCGGAAGCCAACGGCAAGAAGTAGAAGCCTGATACTGATATACTTGTCCCCCAATCTTCAGGCTTTGGAATCAACGCGGGAGACCTAGAAGTCTCAGTAATATTACTTGTAGGCGGAGGAATGCATACCAACAGTAAGTATGTGGTATTGCTAATCGGGATACCAAATTTGGACCCGATGATCTGTTAATTTTTGGCAGGCCGAGAGTCTTACGTCTGAATGAGTTGATCGTATCACCCAGACCTTCCCAAATCAACTCTTCAAGGAGGATATATGAAAGATAATTTGTGATTTTTTTATCGAGGGAAGTGGATCGAATATTCGCCAAAGGATGAGGGAATGCTTGTGTCGGCGACCAGGGCATTCTGGTCATATCAGCAGAATTCTCAGATCACGATAGATAGACATACGTAAACATCAGATGAAGCGGGATCCCTAGCTTTTCTGCACAGTGCAAATGTGCAAACGAAGGAGGGTTCGCAATAATGGCGTTGGCAAGGAACGGCGTTACATCCTGGTCGTCTTCTCCTTCGTCCGGCTCGAAACATGATCTCCAGCATCCTTCAAGGATTTCACGTATGTCGTCTTTCTTCTCGCGAACAGTGCCTTCTCGAAGGGCCTTCATGCTGGGAAGAAGACCGGGGTTTTTTACCATATATGCCATCAATCTCTTTGGATCACCGCCAATGTTGAAGAATTCGAGGTCAACGTCCTGGACGAAAGAACGGAATGTCTCATGTGTTGCAACTCGAACACGATGACCTGCCCTTTTTAGAGCTACCCCCAACGCAACAAATGGCTGAATGTCGCCTCGTGAACCAACAACCTGAATGACTATGTTCATATGTGGTGGCTCCACGTTGACATTGCCATCCTCTGGTGTCCCCTGGTCTCTCAACAGGGGTATTTGCTGTGCTACACGCCACACGTGTCGCATGCCAAGATTGACCCGGCCATCCCCTGTCTAATTAGTAATTTATTCTGACCCGAACGGTGTAGATCATACCTAGGACTTCGACATCATCGGATTCAGAATTAACGGCAAGGCTACTGTTAGATCCCCTTTTCTCCATGCCGTTGGTCGTGAATAGTAGAGAATTGGCAAGTGGTCTTCACATTATATTGGACTGCCCTCGGACCTTCATCAAGAGCTACCTAAGGCAAAGATTGATCAGCAGCAATCTAATTGCTCATAACTCATAGTTGAGATCCACTACCATGACATCATATAAGGCTGGCTGGAACGCCCTCGGGAGGTCTTGTACGTCAAAATGCTTTGATTGTATCAAATCAACTCCAGTGGTCCTGCCCCGCATTGCTTCCGGACGTGCCGGGCTCTATTTGTTTTATCCATATTGGCCCTTGATCGACCTTGCGTTGACAAGATAGTCTGCTATAAAACCCTAAGGCCGCTTTCACCTATTTGTTACATCCTCTATGTTTTATTATAGGGTTCGCCTCAACGATAGAGGTAAAAACGGGGCGAGAAGGGGTGACAATTACTCGTATATAGATATCTACCTAAGCTTGGTGTTAGTAACCACACACAATGGTTCTCCTCGCCTCTTCGGCTATCAGCACTGGGCAACGCTCACGTCCTAAGTCAATGATTAGTAAGATTACGGCCATCTAATCTATATCTAAAACTTACCGTTGTCCCCGAAGATCTGGAGCTCGTTATGAATGCTGTTAACAAGCTAAAGTAGGTAGACTGGCAGAGAACATTCAGCCATTGTGAGGTGTTTTTATCGATAAAAATCACTAAGCCACATAGAAATCATCATCGCTCTTAGCCTTGATACCCTTAGTAATTTTCAAACAACATTAGAGTACTAATGAGCCAATGTTACTTGATTAACCGGAACATGCACTCGGCCCAGGCACATATATATTGTTGAGAGTTATGATGTATAGAGAGGTCTGTATGACAATGTTATATAGATTGTTTAGAGCTGATCTCCCATCAGTGGGGAGAGATCCACTATTTATGGGGCTTGACCAACGGATCCACATGTCTCACCCACGTGTATAGTGGACCTCCTTCATGGAGTTAATGGCAGTTTTAGATTTATCAGTGAACACTACAACAAACGCAACTCTTGACTCTTGACACTTGAGGCTGCAGAGGTCTGCAGTCAGGAACAATGAGTGCAGGCACCAGCACCATGGTACTGCAAGAGTGAGCTTGTGAAAATTGCTGCTTTTTGGCGTTACAGGCAGCGCGTATTTAAGCGCCTGTCACGCACTTCTCAACTCTTTAACCTGAAGGTTCATAGCCAATAAGGTACGTAAGACTACAACAATTTTTCCTCAACCGTCATTGACACCTTTCGAGGTGGGCAAGAAGAGTAGATAGAATCCACAGCCCAGTCCAGGTTCAAGCCCGCAAGAAAATCATGCGTCCACCATAATTGGTCTTAGCTAGGGTGCGCTAAGAACATAAAAGGACCTAAAACTTCCGCGGAAGCTGTATTCGCCAAAACTCCCGCTAAAGCTAAAAAATGGGTATTTCTCCGGGTTATCCCACTCGGAGGTTTGGATCGGAGGTTATTTTCGAGCACAGCTTCAAAACTTTCCGGACAGTCCCTTAGTCAACCAAAATCAACCTTTGGATCCTACGACCTTGGTTTTTACCGATCTAAAGGTACAAAAGCCTCACATCTAGCCCGCATCACTGTGGCATCCCGAGCCTGTTGTCCTGCTTCTCCCATCAAATCTTTTACATCATCAATCTACACCCAACTCTGCTGCTCAGGGCTCCTGAGAATAGAGCTGTCATCATGTCGCAAGAGGCAGACATGTGGGCTCAAGCCGACCAGACCACCATCAGCTCGCTCACAGGGTCTGACATCCCAGTCGAGAACCTCAAGCTCCCGGCAAACTTTGTCTGGGGTGCCGCCACAGCAGCCTATCAGGTTGAGGGGGCTGCTGCCCAGGATAGCAAGGGCAAGTCAATTTGGGATACATACTCACATCTCGAGCCTTCGCGCACCAATGGTGAGAACGCGGACGTGACATGCGATCACTATCACCAGTTTGATGAAGATGTGAAGCTTATGAAGTCGCTGGGCATGGACACCTATCGCTTCTCTATCGCCTGGTCTCGTGTCATTCCCTTGGGCGGTCGCAATGATCCAGTCAACGAACTTGGCATCTGCTTCTATAACCGCCTCATCGATTGCCTCTTGGCCCATGGTATCACGCCTTCAGTCACCCTCTATCACTGGGATGTGCCCCAGGCCTTGTATGACCGGTACAAGGCGTTCCTGAATACGACTGAATTCAGGGCTGATTACGAGCGATATGCGCGCTTGTGTTTCACCCGCTTCGGTGACCGCGTACAATCCTGGGTCACCTTCAACGAACCTTATATTATTTCCATCTTCGGACACCTCAATGGCAGCCTTGCTCCCGGTCACTGTCTCGAGGCTTCTACGGATACCAAGACGGAACCTTGGCGGGTCGGACATACTCTCATCCTATCCCATGCCTCGGTGGTCCAGATATACGCCAAAGAGTTCCAGCCGTCCCAGAATGGCAAGATTTCCATTGTCCTCAATGGTCACTTCTATGAGGCTCATGATGAATCTAAGCAAGCTGATATAGACGCTGCTCAGGTCCGGCTTGAATTCTATATTGGCTGGTTTGGCGACCCTATCTTCCTAGGCAAAGATTACCCGGCATCAATGAAAGAATACCTTGGTGCGCGGCTGCCGAGCTTCACACTCGAGGATCTCGAGCTCCTCAAGGCCACCTGTTCAATCAATGCCTTCTATGGCATGAACCACTATTCGACCAAATTTGCTCGTCAGCTCACGACGCCCCCAGCGGAGGACGATTGGACGAGGAAGATTGAAGAATCAGCTGTGAACAGCAAAGGCGAGGAGATCGGGCCGGCATCAAGTATGCCGTGGTTGAGGATCGCGCCTGGCGGATTCCGAAAGTTGCTCAACTGGGTCTGGAAACGTTATCACCTCCCTATCCTCGTGACAGAGAATGGCTGCCCATGCCCTGGTGAGGCCGATGTCAAGATTGCAATGGATGACCAATTCCGACAGAGGTACTTGGGTCTGTACCTAGACTCTATCTCCCAGGCTATCTACGAGGACGGCGTCAACGTTGAAGGCTACTACGTCTGGTCCCTGATGGACAATTTCGGTGAGCATACTCAATCTCTCTCTCGCCCACCCTCCTTCCCCTTCTTCCTGCCGGGCCATTGCTGGCTGCACCGTAAGCCTCCCGAGTGCTGACTAGTTTACCTCATAGAATGGTCTTCCGGCTACGGCCCACGTTACGGCATTGTCCATGTGGATTTCAATACTTTGAAGAGAACCCCGAAGAAGTCGGCTTACTACCTGCAGGAGACCTTCAAGACGCGTAGGAAGGGCCAGCCATAGAGTACAGCGACAATACCACTTGTCATTATCACAATTTCCTATTCAGAGTTACAGTCACGCTATGACAATTCAAGACGCAGAGCATCTGACGCCTTGGAATCAAGTTGAGATAAGATATCGAGGAGTACTGTGAAGTCGCGGCGGGCCCTGGCTGCAAGTGGCGAAGGCTCCTGGATTATAGGGAGCAAGCTCACGCTGACCAGGCGGACCTTTTCAGCCTAGTTTTAGAAGATAAATATTAGTCCTTTCTATGCCATGTCACACAAGTTCCAGGGTCAGGCGCTCACGCACACAAGGCTCTCCATTGATCTGCAGGGTCCAGAAGGGTACGGCTTGCAAGAACCGAACCATGTCGCGCGCAATCTCGGTCTTCCTGAGCACGAGCATCTCCTTATACCCTCCGACCCAAGAGAAGTACCCCATCTCTTCTAAGCTTCGCGTAAGATGCATCTTTAGGCTGTGATATGTTATCTGTAGGTCAACTATTTGAGCCGCAAATTTGTGGTGTGTGCTATCCACATCGCCCGCAGACAGCGCGGCACTGTCTGGGAGAAGATACGGTGGTAGGTCGTCGATACAGGTTGCAAAACGAACGTAGTCGTCGCTCAGAGTGCGATGGTCGGCTGGTGTCAAGCGTGGGTACGGCAGGTCTGGGTCGGGAATCTGACTATTTTTGATCATTCTCATGCGCAGCAACACGTCTGCTGCGCACTGCCAGAGCCGTATGCCGGCGTTAGAGCCTACGATTAACCTGTCGCTGGAATCAGTTTACAAGCCGCCCACATGCTGACCTGAACCGGGACCGTTTGACGCACTCGTTTTGCTCGCTCGTTGGATAGGCCGTTGTGATGGGGTTCTCGAACGAATAGTTGGAGATTGTGATAGGCATGGACCGGAGCACTGCTAACGACTTGTCCCCCGTGTATACCATCCAAAAGGCGTTGCGACGCATGTTCGCCTCGATCAGGGGCAACGAGGCATATGAGTCTTCATCATGGAGGCGCATTCGCTGGACCAGCCGAACGGCCTCGCCAAAGACGTGCCACGAGAGCACCGACCTCGCGCAGGTGTGCAGGCAGTTGGAGTGGAGGTACCGGACGGTTATGGAGTCGGCACAGGGATTCTGCAAGTCGACTTCGGCATAACTAGCAAGACAACTGCGCGAGGCCTCAAGGAACGTCTCGGCAAGGTGGTCGCCAGCCGGAAACAGGTCCGAGGGCACAAAGAAACAAACCTTCGCGCATACTGCAGTGATGAGAGTGAATGCGGACTCGGTTAGAGTGGCGCCAGGCGGCGATGTGCCGAAGTACTGGTTCAGCAAGCCGCGAAAGCTACGTTCGTGCACCGACATGCTGAAGGGAAAGATGTACCGAAAAAAGAGATCGGTGCACTCTCGGACCACCCCTTCGAGCGACGTCAAAGACGAGGAAGCCTGGGCGACGGCGTCGGCGAGAAGCCCGCATCGTTCGAGAGGTGTCAGACGATGAGGATATAGCGGGGATAGCGCAGCCGCGGCTGGGGAATCGGGAAATGACTGGCCTGCGTGGACAGGAGGCGAAACAATAGACACCGACGACCGAGTCGCGTCGAGCGGATTGTGACATTGTTGACTGGCGCCTTTTTGGACGTTGACGATATTACGGCGCCTAATCTTTCCCTTGGGCCCTCGCTTGCCCGGGGGAATGCCAAAGGTGCAGCCTTGACCGGTTCTACGGCAGCCAGTACACGAGTAGTCTATCGAGTCGCACTGGGGTGTTTCGCCGCGTTAGCAGGATACCACGGGCTCGTTTCTGGTTTCGCCGGCTCAACGCACCTTAGCCTTTTTTTGCCGGCAGCGATCACAGGCTCGATGGGAATAGTGCTCTGGCCCAGGGCCATGGGGTGGCATGACTGACAGATACGCGTATACGCCCTATAGATCGTTGGGATATAGTTGAGAAAGTGGAGGGCTTTTCCTCCGAGCCGGCAGTTGCGCAATAATTCTCCGCTAGTGGCTACAGGGCAGTAAATCCCCCCGGCGCCGTGCTATTCAGCCTAAAATCGCCGCCAATGGATGGTCATGGGTTCCGGAGGTTTCTCGCACTACACTCCAGAAGCCCCGGATCTTTCAAATTCTCCGATAGCTAACACCCTTAACCTCCGCGAGGTCTACTTCATTCGCTTCCCGCCGGACTATGCTTCCCCAGACTGTTGATATAGTTTCCCTGACCCAGTTCCGGCTTCTGATTCCCCGCTTTCAAGCTCACCCCTTCGTCTAGCGCAGTGGAGAGCAGTGGAGAACAGCATCTCCGCTCCCCCCGGGGTGCGATCTGGTTGATCATGAGCTATGGTAGGGCTCTATAATCTGGGGAGACGAGATGCACGATGCACACCCCGGTACTTAAACGTCGTAATCCGCCGCTTCCCTTTCCACTAAACTTTTCTATTCATATTCTGGCCTTGCAGCTAGCCAGCATCCGACAATCGTCTGGAATAACAGCCTCCATACTTGGCATCAGCTCGTAAGCAATTGTTGATGATGCATTCGCAATCCGACGCAAAGCAGCTCGCAGACCAGTCCGAGGTCATCCGCCTGCTCGAGGCCGATACGGTGCCCTGGTACCGGAAGCCCAACCTCCGATTCCTCTATTTCTGCCTCGTCCCCGCAGCGCTTGGTGTCGAAATGACGACTGGCTACGACGGCTCCGTTCTCAATGGCCTACAGGCAGTTGCCTCCTGGCAGTCGTGTAAATCCAACTTCGAGTTTACAGCCCCGACAACGGGCTCTTGTAGCTAACGAATGAGGTGCTAGACTTCAATACCCCTAGTGGCGCTCTTCTCGGTGTACTCAACGCGTCGTATAACCTCGGAGGCCTCATCACCCTGCCTATTGTCCCATTTTTCAACGACAAGTTTGGCCGCAAGCATAGCATCACGTTCGGTTCCGTCATCCTCATCATCGGTGTCATTCTACAGTCTGCTTCTCAGAATGGTTAGTTTCGTTTCACTCTGTCCTCTGCGCCTTGTGTTTGTATTTTTGGCAGCGAGCGCTGGCTGATCTCAGCGACAGTTGGCATGTTTCTTGCATCCAGGTTGATACTTGGCACCGGCATCCCTTTCGCTGTCTCAGGCGCCTCGCAACTCTTGGCCGAGCTGACCTACCCTCGGGAGCGCGCCGTTATCACTGGTCTCTTCAACACGTCCTGGTTCATTGGCTCCATCATGGCTGCTGGCGTAACGCTCGGCACCTACACTATGCCCAATGACTGGGGCTGGCGCATCCCCTCGATCGTACAGGCTGCTCCGTCGATCCTCCAGATCATCTTCATCTGGTTCATTCCTGAATCCCCGCGATGGCTCTTATCTAAGGATCGGAGCGAGGAAGCTTTCGACGTCCTTGTCAAGTACCATGGTGAAGGAGACCGCAACTCTGCATTCGTCATGGCCGAGTTCCACGAAATATCCGCACAGCTCAAGATGGAAATTGAAAACTCAAAGTCGCGCTGGATTGAACTCCTTCAGACTCCCGGAAACAGAAAGAGGTCCCTCATTGCTCTCTGTGTTGGTATCTTTACTCAGTGGTCTGGCAACGGCCTCGTTTCGTGCGTCTACTTCCTTGATTATTCTCCACGGGCAGAACGAGATGTCTACAAGCGGTGCTGACGGTTAATTTCTTCAGCTACTATCTAGCCAAGGTCTTGACAACTGTTGGTGTTAAGGATAAGAGGACTCAGAACATCATCAACCTATCTCTCTCGGTAAACTTACCTTAACGAAGCTGCGCTTCCTTGGAAGATGGTATTTGCTGACCCCCTTTCTTCTCAAAAGTGTTGGTTCTGGCTCTGCGCCACCGGAAGTGCCTTCTTGACCCGTTTCATACCCCGTCGTACCCAATTCTTAACAGCCTTCATCGGCATGACTGCCTTATTCTCCATCTGGACTGGTGTCAGCGCTGGCTATGCCCAACATGCATCACACTCTGCAGCCGCAGCCGTTATCGTCATGATCTTCCTATATACGTCGTCGTATAGCATTATGCAGCCATTAACTTACACCTATATTACCGAAGTATTCCCTTTCGTCCACCGTGCCAAGGGGGTGGCTGTTTTGCAATTCTTTACCCGCGGCAGCTCTGCGTTTAATTCCTTTGTTAACCCCATTGGTATGGATGCCCTCCAGTGGAAGTTCTACTTGGTCTATGTGGTACGTATACTTAGTATACACATTGTTGAGACCACCCAAGCTAACTTGTGGAAGGTCTGGCTGGTTGTTGAGACAACTATCATCTTCTTCCTGTATCCCGAGACTAAGGGGCCGACTCTTGAGGAAATTTCATACAGTAAGTAAACTACTCAACTCCTGGCAATTATTCTTCTACCGCGGAGTCCACTAACTCCTTTGTCCACAGTCTTTGATGGCCCAGAGGCAGGGGCCCACCAAAAGATCCAAGATGATGAGAAACAAACCGTCAGCCACATCGACACAGTGGTAGAGGTCAAAGCTGGGGTAGCAAGGTCAAATGTCCGCCCGTAGATAGAGGACTGTCTTCTTCTATTCTTTCGTGGATCATGCACCTATAATGCATTGAAGCATACTTTTAGCATGTCGTCTTATACTGTCGCACCTGGAAGAGAACTTGAGGAAGTCGCCATAGCAAGAGAGTTTTGTGAAGGACAATATTTACGTCAACTTGGAAGTCAGTTTAAACGAACCGTCTACCGTATGTATTTTATAAAGTTTCGTGTACTAAGCTCATATGCACAGCTATAGCCTAAGCTTCTTGTCTATTTGAGCCGATTCTCTTGTAATTCTTTGGGCCCCTTACCCTAGCTAACCCTATAATCTGCAGTTTTCGCAGAGCTCAAGCTTGTATCTGTAGTGTTTCAGGGCAGTATTCGGTCTACCTATGTAAGCCGACGAAAGTCTCTTACTGTGCTCACGCAGTGCATAGTAAGCAGTGCCGTTGTTCTTCTATAGAGGTCGCAGCTTATAGAAGCCAGGCAAACAGATACTACTATTATTGAGAGTATTGACGACTAAGGACCGGCCTTAATTATTAGAACTTGTTCCCGGCGCTCTTGCTCAATAATATGCATCAGTTGCTCTATCATCTGAGCGTCGTGCCGTGTCCGTTCCTTCAGTTCATCCCGTTCACTGATCCATCGTAGTCGTTGTCTCCAAAACTCCCACCGTCCCATTGAGAGCTGAGAGTCTCCATTCCATAGACTAGAATGAGGGTATCTTTCAGTAATAGAAGTTATTCCAGCAAGATTCATCCTATCTATAGAGCTAAATATGATCTGCCCAGCTATTTCGAACAAGGGGTGTCACTGGCTGTTAACGAAGGTACATATAGAGACGTGAGCGTAAAAGATGTCCACCGCGGGGATGTGATCCCGGATGCTTGGCAGGGTTGGCCTGATGCCTGATTCCCTAGGTTTTGACATGCTAAGTTAGAGACGCCAGTATGGTTACAGAATACAGAGTAATAATTAGACGATCCCTTATGATTAGACTAGTAGTTTACATATCCCTTCTATACTAACAATAGTACATACGACCACAGGGTGTGGAGAACAGGGCTTCCCGTCCGCTCAGCCGTACTTAAGCCACACGCCGGTAAGTTAGTAGTTAGGTGGGTGACCACTAGCGAATCCTTACTGTTGTATGTTTTTTTTTGGATCTTCTTTTGTTTCACTTGTCTCCAGGAGATCTTTTTGAATCGGCTCTTTCAAGTAATGTCAAGTGTCAGACGCATGCGTGCGTCACTTGTTTGGGACCATGCAGTTACAGGGGTACTTACCGCCCGCCCTGCACTGATCTATTCCGGACCCACCTCCTACCTCCCTTTGAACCCTACGACGATACTCCGAGAGCGCCTGGCGAGACAACTATTTCCTCCAAGAAAACTGCTCCTTTCCATGCGGTGTTACTCCCCATTCTCTCCGAAATCGCCGCTGCTTCATGTGTGTCTCCAATTATGTATATATCATCTCTCTGTGCATCAACTCCTCCAACTTCACCTTCTGCATCTGTGATCAGTGAATACTGTGCAGTTCAGTTGTTGTTTCCTGATCCCTTGGGAAATCTACGGAGGAGATATTATCATTAGCGTTGACTTATATCTTGCCTGTATATCATTTGACTTACCTTGGGAACCATAGCTCTGGAAAGAGAATCCAGTTTGCCCCGTTCTCGTTGGCTTCGTGCATGTATTTGATGCCTTGGTCGGTGGATGACTTCAAGTTTGGCATTATGCCCGTTCAGCTGTAGCTTTATATCGGCAATAGCCAGTTGGGAGTGGTGCTCTGACCATTGTAAGTGTGAGGTTGTCATGTTTGTTTGCAGCTACATCAATATTGGCGCATGCTGCACATGCAAGTATAAAAGACGTCCACATAATTGCTCTTTGAAGGGTTGGAAGCTTTGACTGTGATGGCCTTTTTTGGCTAAGACCTAAACGACATATTTATACTTCATTTGGTCGATTATCGTTCTGATCACATAGAGGTGTGCCTGTCTGCCCGAAGTTTGGATACTGTGCATCGAGCTGTCCTTCACCTTATCTTGAGGTTTTTTCTAATGAAAGTAGTCACATAGACTACTCTTCCAACCTTGAATGAACTTCTCGGGATATGAAGATATATCAGTGACCTTGCCGATCGGCTTGACATGTCCAGTCAACTGTCACTCGGTTGCACGGATAACTAGACATTCAAATACCCTGGTGTCATTTATTACCGCTCTACCGTCCTTAACTTTCTGTGCGTATATCAGCCATAAACTTCCGGTCTTATCTCTATCGGCCAACACGGTTCCCATGCTTCTACACAATGAGCTAGAGCTGGAACGCCTAAAAGTGACACTAGCACAGGTATAAAAAACACTGACGGAAATTATCCTGTATACATAGGCACATATAGCCAAGTAATGTAAATCCAAGTCAATATCCGATTAACTATGCTACACTGAATACATTCATGGATGAGCCCTGGCCCACTTTTAGGGGCCCAGATGACGAACAACAAACGAAAAAGCTCGAAAAGGGGGGATTTAAATAACAAACAAAAATCTATAGAACCAGACGGGCAGGCTCCACCGAGAGAAGAGACTTGATACGCTCCAAGAATGCCTTGGCGCGCACCTCCTCACCAGCCGGAACGGTCAGGCTGAAGACATTGGCAGCAGCCTCGGCCAAACGCTCAACGGGAGCTGAGGGGGCAGACTTCTTAACGGAATTAGCGCTGAGGAAGTCAATCAGATCCTCCTCGACAGGCTTGGGCTGGGAGAGAGTCTTGGGAGCCTCGAAGGCGTTCAGCTCGGGGATGTAGTCACCGCGAGAGGTGTTGATAGGCTCAGCGCCGAGAAGTTCATCGAAGAGCTCATCAGCGGAGCGGTTGGAGCCAACGCGGGGGAGTTCGTCGTTGGCGAGGTCGGTGGCTGCGGCCAGGAAGCGGGACAGAGGGACTGTGACGCCCAGGTTGTCCTGGATCTTCTTCTGGGCGGAAAGCACGGCTGCGAGGGAGACGGAGATAGCGACTGAAGTCATGGGAGGGGGCGCGGCGACGACTTCCTTCTCTACTGGGGCTGGCGCGGCTGGTGCAGGGGCCGGGGCGATCTTGATGTTGCTCAAGTCGAGGTGGGCGAGCTTGGCCAGGGTTGAGGCCTGGGTTGATGGGTAGTCCGACGCGATCTGCCCGAGGTAGGCGAGGACATCACCCTTGAGAAGACGGCCCTTGGGTCCGGATGCTGGGATCTTGGAGACATCGTCCTTGGAGATGCCCTTTTCACGGAGGAGCTGGGCGACCGAGGGGTAGAGCGGATAGGCGGGGTTCTGGGTTGTGGGAGCGGTAGATTGGAAGCCTAGAGACAATAATTAGTTCGAATTGGTCTCATGTATTGTATAGCAAGCAGTCCGGTCAAAGAATCCAGCCGAATGGAGAGCGGCTTTCTTTCGCGGAAAGAATATTGCTTCTGTGCACGGGAAACTCACGCTTGCTGATACCGAACACCTTGGGCTGGCGACGGGCAAACATGGCCGGAACTTGGCCGACTGTGATCCGGGCTGCCATTGTGTATAAAAGGAACCTGGAGGGGTTTGGAAGTTTGGTGGAGGTGTTGCGGATGGAGATCTCCAACCGGTGTCGCAACTCGCCGCGGAAGCTTTCGAAACGAGCAGGATCAACCAAGAGCCCACCACCACGGAGAGGCGCGCAAAGTCCGGAGGTTCAATTTGTTCGAGTTTGAGAGTCTGGTCACGAAAGCGATTGCAGGCCGGAGGTGTTGAGGGCGTTGGGAGCTTCACCGGCGGCCGGGACGGGAACATTTTTCTGCCGCTGCGGCTGCTTTCGACGTGTCGGGGCTTTCCGAGGAGAACAACGGTCAATTGATTCTTGTCTTGGTAAGTTACTTGATTTTGTCATTGCATTGGCGCTCTGCGCTCAAATGGCTACGCGCTGTGTTGTTGTCATGGCTTTATTAACGTTATGCATAGGCCCAACACAGTGATGTCGGTCAGACCACCTACCTTCCGCGTACTATGCCGCCAGTGCCTTGGACAACCAGCACGGCCGGGCTTACAAACGAAATCGGGCTCAGCATGGCGTTACTTCAATTCAAGTGCGTCTCACTCGGCCAAAGGAGTCCGCAGAACCGTTGATTCCCCGTGGACATCGGCCGGACACAGCTCCGGGGGTAACAGAGACCCTCGCGCCCTAGCAAAGCTGGAAGCGAAGGTATTACACCAAGGGGAGATGGTTTTGTTCCAGGCTCCTTCCCATCGCACATATAAACTGACCGCGTACGGATTGGCCGGGTTCTGTTTCGCCTATTCGCTCTACAACTCGAACGAGGTCTTCCGGGATCCTCTGGTTCCTCGTCCGTACTGGCAAAAGGCTTTGTTCGGTGGTATCTGTGTTGTGATGAGTGTCATGGGTACCGTGTTCATCGCCCGGACAGGCTCTCTGGTCAAAAGCATCAAAGCGGTCAAATCCAATGGCCAGATGCGTGTGCTCTTCACGGTTCAAAGCATGGCACCTTTCAAAAAGCCCTATCGGGTTGAGGTGAGCCCTGGTGAGATTTTCTTCAAGCGCCAGATCACCGTCTCTGCGGAAGCTGCTCAGCGGTTTGAGATGGAAAAAGTGAGACTTGGCCGTGGGATTCAAGAAGAAATCAAGTTCTTCAAGTCCCCAGCAAAGAAGCTGAGCTACATGGGCTGGCAGATCTTTCAGTCCCTGCGCCAGGTCTTCACGAACGAGGACTTTATTGTCGTGCAGGTTGCTGGCCGCAAGACCCAGTTCCGTGTCGACTCCAATGGCTATGTCTCGGATGAGCTCTTGAACTTTGGCCGTATCGTGAACATGAAGATGCCATTGCAGCGTTGATCTAATCGTTGGATGTCTGCCTTGAAGCGATACGAAGGCCATTAGCACAGCTTTGATATCCCTTTTTGTACATCATTTTGGCCCTTCCTGATGGGCAACAGCGCAGCATTTGTACCACTATCAAACAGTATATAAAATTGAATCACCATAAATGCATTGCTCAAGACCTATAGTCTCATATTGTTTTAGTTGGGTTGTACTAGACTTGTCGCAAATAAAGTTGTGATCCACGTGATGCTCCGGCGCGTCGATGGACGCGGTCTCCCCGTTATCGCGCCCCTCCCAACCATCTTTGCCCACACGTCAATCTCCCGCACTAACAGTTGCAGAGCTCTGCTTGAATTCCTCACTGCGTGGCTCCCTCAGGGAAGCGGCCGGCAAGATGGGAAAACTCATTCGCTTGGAGCTTTTCAGTACGTAACACCGAAAGTGCGCCGCGAACATGAGCTAACTTTGTCAGATTTCAAGTCCTACAAGGGACACCATGTGCTCCTATTCGGAGATGCATATTTCACGTCAATTATCGGACCGAACGGGTCTGGCAAGTCGAATTCGTGAGTACTTCTCGGCCTTATTTGAAGAAACGTGTGCTGACACGCAATAGGATGGATGCCATCTCGTTCGTTCTAGGAATCAAGTCGTCCCATTTGCGATCGACCAACCTCCGCGATCTCGTCTACCGTGGTCGTGTCCTGCGCACATCCAAAGTCGATGGAGAGCCAGCCGCTGAAGGCGAGGATGCCGAGCAAGAGGAGGACCAGGACAATATGGATTCCACCCAGAACGCTGGGGTCAATGATCCGAAGACCGCTTGGGTTATGGCAGTCTATGAAGACGATGCGGGCGAGGAGCAGCAATGGCGCCGATCTATCACCAGCCAAGGTGTCAGCGAATATCGCATCAACACCCGGATCGTATCCGCCCAGCAATACAACGAGGCTCTCGAGGAGGAGAACATCTTGATCAAGGCGCGCAACTTCCTTGTGTTCCAGGGTGATGTTGAGGCCATTGCGTCTCAGTCTCCTCGCGATCTTACGCGGTTGATTGAGCAGATCTCTGGCAGTCTGGAGCACAAGGCTGACTACGAGAAGTTCAAGGCCGAGGCGGAGGAAGCCGCAGAGCAGCAAACCGTTCAGCTCAATCGTCGGCGAGGCATCAACTCCGAGGTTAAACAGTACCAGGAGCAGAAGCGAGAAGCCGAAAACTACGCCAAAAAGGCCGAAGAACGCGACCAGGCTATCATCACTCATATCCTATGGAAGCTATTCCACTTCCAGCGCTTGATTGACGATTCTAGCGCTGATATCCAGAAATACCAGGATGAGCTTAAGGAATACCGCCGCGGTGTCGAGAAGTACGAAAAGAACGTTGAAGACGCCAAAAAGGATCATGCTCGAGTTGGTAGGGATGTGGGAAAGGCCGAGAAAAACATCACCAAGAAGGAGCATGAAATTGAAGAGCTCAACAACTCGCTTGTTCCTGTTGACGAGAAAATCGATATCACCCAGAAGAAGGTCGAAAGATACGCTTCGAAGATTGAGGAAATTGGCAAGGAACGCACATCCCAATCCAACAACCGCAAGCACCTCGAGAAGGATCTCAAACTTGTTGAAAAGGCCCAGGCTCAATGGGAAGCCGAATGGCAGAAGACAATGAGCAAGAAGGGCGGCCAATTGAGCGAAGCCGATCAACAGGAGTACCACAAGCTCAGAGAAGAGGTCAATCGACGTTCATCTGCAGATTCTTTGAACCTTGACAACCTCCGCCGTCAGAGAAAGACGGAAGCTGAAGCTGTCAACAGTTTGAAGGGCAAGTTTGAAAACACTGAGTGGCAGCTGAAGTCTTTCGAATCCGAGGCGCAGAACATGGGC